TTTTCCTGTTCTGTTTCCCCGCCCGGTTTAAAGCTGTCTGTAGGGTCAAACCATATAAACTTCTTGTATCCAGAGCATCCTCCAGCAAGTTATTCCAGAGTTCCACCAGTTGGTGAAGAACCACCTCCTTTTCTGTGTTTTGAACTTGGACTTCATTAGTTTCATCTGATGACATCTAATTTTTGTATTTGGAAGAGACTCTGAGAGTTAATCCCTATGGACTATTTTCCAGAAACAGTACCAGATAGTAATGGTGGCTGGCTGGGACTTTATTTCAGCTTTCAATAGTCTGCTGCTGCCTCATGCCCCCTCCACTTCCAAATAGTGACTGTATTTACCCAGTTACCTTGATGGATTTCAGCTTGCTTGTGTGGCTTGCAGCAGCCCAGAGTTGCAAGGGAAGGTAGGGGTGTGGACATTACTGGGCTAGCCAGCAGCAAGAATATTAACAAGTCCTAGGTGGTCTTCAAACAGTCTCAAGCCAAGGGCGAAATACTCCTTCCTGTTAACATAAAGCTCAGAGCAACTGTGTAGGAAACAGATGTGCCTGCTCATGACCCTCATGTGGAAAGCCCATGTGAGTAAAAGAGTGTATGACCTTCATGTTGGTAACACCCTTGGGTAAGAAAGGAACCTTTTAAAGAGTGATCCCCTCCCGACTTATGTTTCTCTTCTCCCAGTGGTCTGAAATTGAGATGCGGAGAGGAGATTACTGCCTTGCAGTAACAAGGACAATGCTTTTTAGGTTGCAGTTTCCCACCGCTAAAATGAACAGCTCTTCCCTAATGGGGTGCTCCTGCCCCTTCCCCTCCTGTCTGTCCAGTGCTAACCCTTGGTTTTATCCCACTGCAAGCTGGTTTTCAGGGAGTTAAACCAGCAGAAATCTGCTTGCTGACTTTTCCAGGGCTAGTTTTTGCTGGTTTAGCTTTGTGAACCAGCTCACTCTGCAGTCAGAAGAGTACCAGTGTTGGCAGGAACGGGACTGCCTGTTCCCACGGCACCTGTTAGAGCACCGTAACTCATTATGAAATTAGCAGCATTAAATGTTAGGCAGCGCATCTGAATGTATCTATCTTCCTCAGCAGGTAAAGGTTACGATCCACAGGGACAACCACAAGTGTTGCCTTTCATTGCTCAAAGTCCTCCCTCTACTGCAGATTCTCCCCTGCGTGCATCATCCTTGCTTTTCTCACAGACCCAGACGCTGCGCAGAATGGCAGCACACATCCTGGTAATCCAGGAGAAAAGCAGGCGGTGCTGCCCGCTGGCCTTGCTAAACCTTTAGCTACACTGTAGCCTTTCTCATCATTGCCTGCACATAGCAGAAATAACTTTCCCAGTTTGGGGACTCTGCATGCTGTTGCCGTTTGAGGAGCGTGCGTGGGGGCAGTCATATGAAGCTATGACGTCAGTGGCATCATGTGCGGTATTGTTCCAGGGAAATTTACTCTACGTCAGTGACTAAGCATGAAAAAGAGAAGTTTGTCCCCTCAGAGCTGATTAATAACAGACACTGGGTGTAACAAGAATGGCATTTTACAATCCACAAGGGGAATGGGTACGGGGTAGGACTTGAGGCAACATGGGACTCTGGGTGACAAGTCAGGAAGATGCTATCAAAAGGGTCATACTGTCCTCAGGTCAACCTGATGTGGCTGTAATTACTGGCTAACTCTGTGTAAAGCCAACTGATCCAGCAGTGCACAAATCTGGCAATGACAGTCGCAGAGCCGCAACCTCCGTCTGTATTAGAAAACTAGTGGGTGTATCCTCAAGTTCCAGATGTCGCCTGCATTTCCAATGCCCCTTGGGATAATCTGTTGCCTCTACCGCAGTCATCTTGAAGCCAAGCTGTGATAAATTCTGCACAGTTATGTAAAACAGAAATGAAGCTCAGCTCTCTGCCCTGTCATTACACACTTGATTCCAAATGAGGATCCAGATAGATCAGGCGCTTCTTAGGTATTTTTCTCCTCTCATTCTTTGCTCATTGTGGCCAAGAGAGAAGCGCCTGTTCCTGCAAGACCTTGTCCATCCCAGCGCCTGCCTGGCACACGAGCGTAGTGCAGTTTTTAGTCTGTTATGGTGTGTTTAACCTGTCACCTCAGCTTTAATGACAGCCCTACGCTACGCAACGCTGTGAAAATCCAGGTTTGTGCTTTTACAGCGTTCTCGACGCGGCTCCCAGATGAAGTAACACACTGTGCCTTCCACGCTCCGGACCAGCATTACCACCACCGCCAGTTTGCTTCCCACACAGGCAGCTTTAGCCTTACGCCACCGGTTACCTAACCCAGGACGGCTGCGCTGCCGAGCAAAGACGAGTTCACCAGCGGCCATCTTCCCCCCGCGCCCCGAGGAGGGTCTCGGGAAGGCCCCGTCACAGGGGGGCAAGTAGCGAGGGGCTGGGGGAGTCCGTTCCGACATTCCTCCGCAGGGAGGGCCGCGGTGCCAGCCTCGGCGCGGTGCCGCCGGGCCGGG